AGGGGGGTGTGAAACTCTGGTGAGACTGGGGAAAGGAGGCAGGAGAGGGGAGAAGAGAGGGTGGGAGAGGGGAGGGGGAAATCTGGGAGGAGGGAGCTGAAAGGGGGAGGGGACACTCAGGGCTCAGGAGAGAAGTATAAAACTATGGTACACCATATCTTCAGTACTGTGTACAGATTTGGTCTCCTCCCCTCAAAAAAGATATTTTGTCCTTGGAAAGGGTTCAGAAAAGGGAAACTACAATGATTAGGGGATTGGAACAGGTCCCATATGAAGAGAGGCTAAAGAGACTGGGACTTTTCAACTTAGAAAAGAGGAGACTGAGCGGGGATATGATAGAGGTCTATAAAATCATGAGTGGTATGGAGAGGGTAACCAGTGGCTTGCTGGCTTATGTTTTGGGGCCATTGAGTCAGGGGCAGTGACTGCTGGCTCTGGGCTGGCAGGCTTGGAGCTGGCGCAGGCACTGTGGTCAGAGTCAACCCCTTTAAGGGCTCCGGGGATGGGGGAGGGAGAGGAGTGTTCTTGGTTGAGGCCACCAGGGCACCCTGGGAAGGCTGGAGGGCCCCTATTTCGATATAAGTGTCTACACAGCACTTATTTAGAAATAAACGCTCAGCTACTTTGAATTAATTTTGAAATAGCGGTTTGGCTGTGTAGACGCTAATAAAGTTATTTCAAAATAATGGCTGGTATTTTGAAATAATTTTGCTGTGTAGACATACCCTTTGAGAACAATTCCTCACTGCCAGGTGCACAGGATGTCACCAGATTGACTCTCACCTACTGGTCCTATTCAGTCTCTTCATCAACTTGTCTTTGTGTATCCAGAACTCGTATTTCTGACTCTATTCTCGTCTGAGGACTATCCACGGTGTTGTTGGGTTTAATCATTAGGTTCCCATCCAGAATTTTATCCAGCTCTTTATAAAACCAGCATGTTTGGGGTGCAGCGCCAGACTGACCATTTGCCTCCTTTGCCTTGTGGTAGGCCTGCCAGAGCTCCTTGATCTTGGCTCTGAATTGTAAGGTGTCTCATTCATACCCGTTGGCACACAGGGCTTGAGAAATGCAAGTGTACATGTCCCAGTTCTTACAGGTCATCTGCAGCTCTGATTGTAGCAAGTCATCATCCTTCACACTCATTAGATTCAAAAGCTTCACATTGCTCCAAGTAGGGGAGCATTTGGGTCTAGAGCAGCCACCCCTGTTTCCTAAAGACGCAATGAGAACCAACACACAATGTGCCAGAGACACAGAAAATGCAGTTAATTTCGCAGGATTTGCAGTTGGGAGGGGAGCATTTTACCAATAAACATTACATGGCTGAAGCAGAGTACAGATTGAAGTCCAGAGTGGCTAAACAGGGCATTGTGGGGTACATGCTGGAGTCCAATAAACTCAACAAAAAACCTTACTGGTCCACACCTCATGGCTGTTGACATCATTGTGATAAAAGTCTCTTGCAGAGTGGAAGTTTTCTGTCACAAAAAATGGCCGTACGTTGCAACGTTTATCGCGCTGCAGTGCTTTGAGGTTTTTGTCGTCCAAAGGCAGTGTTCCTGACAGAAAATGCAAGTGTAGACATGGTCTTAAAAAAGATCATGTTGCCTCTATATAAATCCATGGTATGCCCACATCATGAATGCTGTGTACAGATTTTATAACCCCATCTCAAAAAAGATATACAGGTTGGACATCCTTGGTCCAGCATCCTGGAAAGTTTTCTGAACCAGGGGAGGTCAATTCTGTCCCTCTGCTGATGGACTCCAGGCTCTCCCGGGGTTCATAAGCAGACCCGGCAGAGCCCCACAGGCTGTCATTTCCTGGCACTGCCAACTAGTCCTGGCCACCATTGCTCTGGGGCCCCAGGGCCACTAGGGCTCCTGGGCTTTGCTCCCCAGGGCACTGGGGCTGCTGCAGCTGTGTTGCCATGGGAGCAGAGGGACTCTGCTGTGTAGGGGCCATCACAGCTTTGTGGTGGAGGGGAAGCTGGGGCTGCCACTACCCTGGAGATGCCAGGGCTCTGCTCCCCGGGGCTGCTGGAGCTGCTGTCCTGAGGCTGGCCAGCCTGCTAAGGCTCTGCTGCCCCAGAGACACTGGGTCTTCACTCCCCAGCGTGGCTAAGGTAGCTGTGGCTCCGCTCTCTGGACGAGGGAAGTTCAACGTGTATTGGATTTTGAAAAGTTACAGAGAATGGCAATAGAAGTGATTAGGAGTACTGAACACATTCCATATGAGGAAAGATTTAAAAAAAGACTGGGACTTTTCAATTTGGAAAAGAAATGACTGAGGAGGAGATAGGACAAAGGTCTATAAAATCATGAATGGTGTGAAAAAATTGAATTGTTATTTACCCCTTCAAATAACAGAAGAACTAGGAGTCACTCCGCAGATTTAAGACAAACAAAAGAAAGCATTCCTTCACAGTCAGCCTGTGGAACTTCTTGCCAGAGGATATTGTGAAGACTAAGACTATAATGGGGATTTAAAAAAGAATTAGGTAAAATCATGGAAAATAGGTCCCTCAGTGGCTATTAGCAGATATGGGCAGGGATCCAACACCATGTTCTGCATGTCTCATGCGTCTGTTTGCCAGAAGCTGAGAATGGATGACACAATGAATCACTCACTGCCTGCCTGCACTTGAAAGAGAATCCTCTGAACTGTTATTCATGCTTAAATTTGACACTTTACACCTGAGTCTGAATAAAGAATCTAATTATCTTACCCATTATAAAGATATCTTCCCCAATTATCACCTCTAATATCATTAGCTCACAGACATTTACCTTTCCCCCCATCCCCCTCATTTTTTTAAATTGTATCCTTTGGTATATATGGTTGTGACAATTTTCTTCCACTATTTGATCTGAAGAAGTGGGTCTGGCCCACGAAAGCTCATCACCTAATAAACCACTTGTTTAAAGTGCTACATAGTCCTGTATTTTGTTTCAGCTACACCAGACTAACATGGCTACATTTCTATCACTTGCCTGCCTGCTGTGTTCATTCTCTCTCAAGCATCGGCATTGGCTACTATCAAAAGACAGGATGCTGGGCTAGATGGACCTTTGCTCTGACCCAATCTTCCCATACTGCTGTTCATACCTAGAACCCGGCTGTATCTGCCCCTGCTTTAACCCCCTTAGAAACTACTCCACT